TTCTTCGGTTCTTGCTCCAAATGCTCCCAGATGCCTACGAGGTCGATCCAAATGCTCTTTCTTCATTAGAATTTCGTCGTGAATCTCCCGGTGACCTCCAAGTCTTTCAAATCTTTCTTGAATGCCTTCAAATCCCTCCCGAATGCCTCTCAAGCGCCGATTGTCGGTCTCTAACTTCTTCAATTCAACTCCAATTGCAACGAAACTCGATCCAACGCCTGATAATCACAACTTGAGCTAACATTGAGACTTGCAACGCCTTAAAGCTAGGAAAAACATCAAAATCCGACTCCAACACGCATCAAATGCGTGTCTAATTACGGACTTATCAGATTCCCCCACACTTAAACTTTTGCTTGTCCTCAAGCAAATCGAACAACGGGACTTACGATAATCACCACACAGAATTTAAAACAGTTAGCATGCACACGTAGTTAAAGGGATATTCACAGGACAGACAATCTAAATCAAGAAAATTCTTCCCTAAACTACATCTTTGTACTCAAGCTAAACTGTTTGACACAATTATTCACAACATCCTCAAAGTAATGACAGCATACACAAATAAACTAGTTACCGATCAGAAGGACTTGTGAAGGTGATGGTGAATGGTCAATGGATAACAAGTAACAGCCCTTTTCTTTGAGAGATTGGATTATTCTAACAAAGACTCAATGTATTCAGGAACTTCAGGGCTATTCTTAGGATCAAGGAACTCAGTAGGCCACAATTTAGGAACAATCATTTACACCTATGCAAAGAGTAGACATGGTGTACAACTAAGCTAAACCGTCTCGGCACATTTGTGCTTTGACGTATACTTGAAGTACGCGGAGGACTAAAACTAAATTTTGAGATAGCCTCCAAGTTCATTAGTTAAATTCACTTTCCCTTGTCATGTTGGCACGAGAACGCCGTTTCTTTCAAAAGATACCCAAGTCTCATCTTACGCTTTTTGACCAGGGCTCCCATTCTCTTTTTCGTAAGGCAAGAGGTCTAGCTATATTAATTTTTCACCTTTCGGATTCTCACTAGACATTACCCCATTCTAATCTCAGCCTCACCAAGAAAAATATCAATTAAAATTCATTAATTTAAAAGTGAATCCATGCCTACAATGCAATCCTCGAAAGTATCAAATTCCTAACAGATGACTACTCTTACCCCATTTGGAGCATAGGAGCAGTGCCAAAAACGGCTCCTACCCAAAATTCCCTAACTTAGCAAATTCATCCCTTAATTCCCTAAACATCAAGACTAAGCCAGAAATATTCACGAGTAAGGAAACATGCCATTTGGCTATGGAGCTCAATTAATTGGGTAACAAAGAACGGTCAGACTCAAAATGGCTTCTCCTAAAGGGTCTTATTCAGGTAAATGGAAAAATTATTGATTTATTCAATGGGTGACTAATGCCTTCATCCTTTCAACAACTAAGTTATCATGCAAGCAATTTAAGCCTAAACACTTCAAGGACATTCTAAAAGCATAGTCAAAACGTTAGCCAGTTCACAAAGACACAGTTTAAAGAAAAAATTTCAAAAATTTTGACATGAATTTCCTATGCATATACAACTAATACATGCGCATGCTAACTCTAATTAATCACATGTAACAAGTACTGCCCGAATGCCCAATTCACTCCCCCACACTTGAACTTTGGCATCGCCCTCGATGACCAAATATGCACTATGCACTAGGGGTAAAGAGGAAAGGGTCACGCGTGCTCAAAATTAATTCAAGTCATCATTACACAGCGAGTAAAAAGAGTTATTGAAATTTCCCTATAGCGTTGGTCGGTCTGGAACTAAACTTGGTCTTTGATTGCGCGGCACATCATCCACTAAGCATTCGTTTGAGCTGCAACACATCATTAAACAACAAAGCACATCAATATAAAAAGTTAAGTGTAACAGTGAGAGTGTGAGAGTGTGAGAGTGTTTATGGTACAGTCATCCAACAAAATCAAATACAAAGGTTAGCAGAGGACAATCTAATCAGATCTCTAATACTCAGGAGGGGGCGGGGGCAGATATGCATCAAAGAATGAGCTCCAGCTAGACTCCAAAAAAGTGAGTCGCTCATCAATCTGTGTGTACTGGGACTGGAGCTGTGCATAGTGCATCGCCTGATCCTCCTGCATCTCACGATAAAAGTCCTGCTGCTCAAAACGCATCTGATCAAAACACTCGTGCTGTTTAGTAGAAAGCTGATGATAGACGGCGTCCTGATGCGCATGCATCCCTGCCCAAGAATCGGGAAAAGTGCTGCCGTAGGGGGGTGCATCAAAAGGAACGTCGTGTGCAGCAGCCTCCATCTCCTCATCACTCTCATCGTCGTCATGCTCATCATCATCATCATCATCATCATCGTCATCACCTGCCCAGTGTCCTCCCCCTGCGGCTGCTGGCTGCGCCCGTGCCCTCCTCCTCGCGACTCCAGTGTTGACCGCAGGAAGTCTGGTCAACGGGAGGAAGCTCGAACTCTCCTCCATCCTCTCGAACCGGTCTCCAAAACACATCCCGGTCAGTAGGCGTGTGATGAACGGGCCAAAAACTGATGTGTGTTTTCTCGCACTTAAAATAGATCGTAATATAGTAGTGTAAGTACGAGTATCGTCTCCACAGGGACGGACAAAAGGGAAATAAGAATTAACTAATTTCAGCGATGAAAAAGAAAATACAGTAAAATGTGATTGTGCGAGATTGATTGGTGAATTAAAATTAAACTAATGCGAATGAGCGAATAAAAATAAAGCTTGGTTTCTTTCTAATTAACAACGAAGGGAACAGGGATTGATTTCGGGATAATCAGATTTCTGGCAGAACAGGCCCAATTACATGAAATTAATTTAATTGAGCCTGGCTAATCATTACTAAGTTCTTACCGCTCTCGCGACGTAGAGTACAATAATTTAGGGGACCAGACTGATCTCTCATGCGACGGGATCCTAAATTATTGCCACAACGAGCGAGCTTACGGCCCCTTAATCGCTACTAATCTCTTAGCGAACGATTAAGTGTGTGTGAATGTGTCCTAGAACAAATTAGATCTCTCTTAATTTATTCTACATGCAATTGTAATTCTAGTCGCGCTTCTAGGTTACAACAGATATCAGTTAAATTATTCAAACTCAAATTAAACGGCATTCATGCAATTAAACCGACAAGAATCTAGCCATCAATCATGATTAACCCCTTTATCAATCCCAAACCCCTAATTAAACTACTCACAATTCATAATTGAAGAATCAACAGAATTGGGATGAATAGAAATAATTGTCATTAATTAAAAAGATGAACTTACAAATTATCACAAGGTCTTGGAGTAAAATTGCATTAAAACGGTGTTAAATTCGTCCCTAGGCCTCTCCGTAATGTTCGTAACCCTAAAAAAGGGTATGGATGCCTTATTTATAGAAAACAGGAGAATTTGAGCTGAAATAGGACAAAACGGGGCCATGCACAACGCCAGGCACGATCGTGCCTGCAGAGCATGCGCGCGTCTCGGTTGCAGGCACCATCGTGCCTGGCCAGGACACGATCGTGCCTGGCTGGCAGTAGCTCTGCGTGCCATCCTCTTCCAGGCACGGACGTGTCTGGGCTTTTCTTTATCATTTTTCTTCGTTTCTTGCTCCAAATGCTCCCGGATGCCTACGAGTCGATCCAAATGCTCTTTCTTCATTAGAATTTCGTCGTGAATCTCCCGGTGACCTCCAAATCTCTCAAATCTTTCTTGAATGCCTTCAAATCCCTCCTGAATGCCTCTCAAGCACCGATTGCCGGTCTCTAACTTCTTCAATTCAACTCCAATTGCAACGAAACTCGATCTAACGCCTGATAATCACAACTTGAGCTAACATTGAGACTTGCAACGCCTTAAAGCTAGGAAAAACATCAAAATCCGACTCCAACACGCATCAAATGTGTGTCTAATTACAGACTTATCATCCATCGAGGAAAGAGATGTTTCCACCACCATCTCCTTTATTAAAATTACATCTACTCTTAAATAAGTTTTAGAAGCAAATCTCTTTCTATCCGTAAAATGCGTTCAGTCTGTTCACTTTATGAGAAGGCCGGGCCAATCGCACCTTTAGTCCCTGAAATAATCACCATATTGAAAATGTGAGACCCGTGTTCCCCAGTTTGTAAATGACATCCAATAATTGTCCTTTGAGGAGTGAAATGTACAATGTGAGCAAGGAATACATTTCACCCTTCAAAGGATCACATTTACAGTAATTTGGACAATTGAGGGGTGACATTTACAATCTCAAAAATACGGGTCTGACATTTCAATATGGTGACTATTTCACAACTAAAAATGCGATTATCCCTTATGAGAATTATAGTTTTCTTTAGAAAAAAAATGTAAGAACCAACTAAACGATTTTACATGTTTTTTTATTAGAATCCGGTAGAATTTAACCCCTGCACCCCTACACTCCTACGCAGAGTATTCCGTATATTTTAACCAGAACTTCGCCTCTTCTAAAGTCCAAACCTAGGTAGAGTCTGAGATGGGAGGCTAAATCCTGCTGGTGTTATCCCAAATTCCCAATCACTTTCCTAGCTGTTAACTTATCTTTGGGGGTGTCCTCAACCTAGATTTTAAAGAATTTCTAAAGATTGTACTCCCTCCGTCCCATTTATTTTGTCCCATTTTACCTTTTCGGGAAGTCCCACTTATATTGTCTCATACCATATTTGGCAAAGTTTGTGTGGCTCTAAATCATTCTTAGTTTATTCTTACTTTATCAATTAATATCAACCACACAAACCCACTTTTCTTAATAACCGTGTCACCCTCTTCCGGGACAATATAAATGGGACGGAGGGAGTAAATCTTATTGATTTTAAAATAATTCTAGAGATTCCATTGATTTTAATAGAATCTTATGGAATTCTATATCATAGAATTGTATAGATTTCAATCGATTTTAACAAATTAGCTATATCCTTTCCAAAGAGCAGCCACGTACTAACGCGGGCTATGCAGCATACACCATCCCTTTAGCGATGCTAGTGGTTTCAATTCGCCGTATTCCCCTACACAATCCCTACACACACCCTCAGTATGCCAATCCATTTAGGAGCACCCGTGAGATTGAGACAGTGAAAAGAGAGAGCACGTATGAAAGGTGGAGCTGCCTGGGTGTGGTATAGAGATTATTTGAGTTACATTTTGGGGTAAATTGAGTGGGGTGTAGACTGGTTCACACTCACGATGAAGGGTGGAGTTGCATATGGAAGATTTGAACGATGGATTAGGAAATCCGAGGGTTAGGGGTGAGATTGTGTTGGATTGAGTTGTTCTATTATTTGGCATAGAAATCCATCAAAATCTTTTAAAATTCATAAAATAGATAGTTAGTGAAATCCATAAAATGTTTGAGGATACCTGGATTTTTAAAGACTCCATGAAAATCCAAATTGAGGATAACCAGATTTTAATGGAAATCTAAACTCTATTAAAATCCATCAGAATACGTGTTGGGGACACCCCCTTCATCTTTTTAATTGAGCTCTATAAAAAGACGGAAACCCTTCTTGCGATTTTGTTCGTCTGGCGTCTCGGCTCATCTCTGCCAGACTGCCACCTTTACTCAGCGGTTCAGACCGCCCTAAGATTCCGAGCACATCCACCATCGTTCTCTGTAAGCCCTGCCCCTGTGTTTTTGTTGCTTTAGAAAAAACTTACTTTTATATTCAGAACTAGTAGTTCAAATTGGCGCTGTTGGGATTGAAACTTGGCAGTTGTTTTTGGCTTAATATTCAGTTTTCAAAGACATTTGCTTAAGAAAACTTTGAATTTTGGGGGTCTCCTAGTTTTCTGACTTTATAATTGGTTTTTGACATGTAATATCAGATTTTTTTAAATTAAAAAATTTAAATATTTGTAAAATTTCGAAAAAAAAAATAAATAAAAACATGGACAATTTAAGAATCTCAAAGTCTATATTTTTGCATTTTTAGATCAGAAATTGATCTAAATAAGAGTAAAAACGTTTTGAAATTCCAAAATAGGAGTATCATGTTTTTTATTCCCTGAATAGGAGTAAATTTCTGCCAAGTTTGGCATTACAAGGCTTTTAAACGTGTCATTTTCTTCCAAACTTGGCAGATTACTCCTATTCAAGGAATAAAAAACATGATACTCCTATTTTGGAATTTCAAAACGTTTTTACTCCTATTTAGGGAATTCCCTCTTTTTAGATTTATTTACATGTTTACATCGTTTTAAAATTATTTATCTATTTATGAATTAATACTATTTTTATATTATCACATTATCTTTAAAATTTATATAAGCTTTTTAAGATTTATCAATTGGTTTAATTAACTATACTCAGTGATATAACGTTTCATACCAATTCGTAGTGAGAAAAATATTTCTCAAAGGTTAAAATAGTGTGATTGATTGTAGACATTACTCCCACGTATGGTGGGGTAAGGGGGTCAGATGTACGCAGTCTTACCTTGCACTAAAGCGCAAAGAGACTGTTTTCGTATGACCCATAATGAAAATCACGTTGAAAATTGCATGGACTGACTGCTGCTTCATAACAAAGAAGTGCAGAAAGTTTAGTGAGTCATCTGCTTTATTCCATTGAAAATGATGGAAAAGTAAATGTACTAATGTAATACTTTTTTAGTATAGCGATTTAATTGATGAATTGAAAATGGTAGAGGAGTCTGTTTGACTCTGCGCTAAATATTCATAGTACCCTGTATTATATACTGAGTACTCGGTACTCCATATGCAATTTATTTTATCACATCGGCTGATCCCCTCTCCAGTATTGATAAGAAATAATTACATATTTATGACTAAAATATAGTTTGTTTACAAAAATGTTACTAGTGATTAGAGTAGCAATGAAAATATAGCAACTTATGTTCATTTTTTATACTTAAGTTACTATGACATATCATTGTAGTAACTAATAGTCATATTTTTGTAAATACTACGTACTCCCTCCGTCCCTTTTTATTTAGCCAAACACTGTTTTTCAAGTCAAAGTTGTTCAACTTTGACCGATTATATATTTATACACGGTAATATTGATAATATGAAAATTATATGAAAAGGTTCTTTGTTGAATATACTATCATAAAAGTATAAATTTATTAATTTTTACATAAATATATTATTTAAAATAATTGATCAAAATTTATCATATTTGACTGTAAAAGTCAAAGTTGGCTAAATAAAAAGGGACGGAGGTAGTATGTTTTATTTTGGTAATATTTGTGAAAAAAACCCGATAAGAACTATTGATAATGCTGATTGCTGAGCACAGAGAATAACTATTCTTTTCAGAAAATATTTTCAAGATCAATTTATTTTCCTGCAATCAAACAGAACTTAAGATACTAAGAAGGACTTGTTGCAGGTTATATCAACATTTGCTCTTGATAAGTCCGTATTTAGACACGTATTTGATGCGTGTTGGGATTGGATTTTGATGGTTTTCCTAGATTTAAGTTGTTGCAAGTCTTAATTTTAGCTCAAGTTATGTTTAACATGCGTTGGTTCAAGTTTTGTTGCATTTGGAGTCAAAATGAGGAATTTAGAGTTGAACATCGGCACTTGAGGAGCAATCGGGATGATTCGAGATGCATTCGAGAGTGGATTGAGAGCTTTGGAGGTCACCGGGAGGTTCACGATGAAGATTTGATGACAAAAGAGCTCTAGGATTGGCTATGGGATCAAAAGAAGATGAATGAAGCTGGAAAACGACGATCAGGATGACCTTTGGTCAATCGTTCAAGCATATCTCTTTGTATAAGCATCCAATGTACACGATTCAAGTTCCATATGAAAGCCAACTTCAAGGGCTACAAATCATATGAAGACATCATTCCGAGAATCTGAGAGGATCAAGGTGAAAACAGATGATGAAGTCAGATGATCTCTGTTGCGATTTCAGAAAGACACCTTCCACCATTTTAGTAATATCTCTTGATTGGGTGATTCAAATCACATTCGGCAAATCGGGGTGGATAGAGGAGTTCATTATCTACAACTTTCATGAAGGAAGTTTTGTCAAATTCGGAATAGAAAAAAGGCTGAAGAGCACGGACGCACGATCGTGCGTAAAAGGACGCACGATCGTGCGTAAGAGCCAACAACGCGGCAACTAATCTGCCTGCTACGCACGATCGTGCGTGGCAAGGTACGCACGATCGTGCGTACACCCGAGACGCGGATTTCAGCCCTTTTTTAGTCCCAGTTCAGCCCAAACTCATCTGTTTTCTATAAATAAGACCCCCATACCCATATTTTGACGTTACGAACATTACGGAGAGGCCTAGGGACGAATTTAACACCGTTTTTACGCTATTTTCTTCCAAGATCCTGGGATTATTTGTAAGTTCATCTTTTTAATTAATGACAATTATTTCTATTCATCCCAATTCTGTTGATTCTTCAATTATGAATTGTGAGTAGTTTAATTAGGGATTTGGGGTTGATGAAGGGGTTAATCGTGATTGATGGCTAGATTCTTGTCGGTTTAATTGCATGAATGCCGTTTAATTTGTGTTTGAATAATTTAACTGATATCTCTTGTAACCTAGACTGCAGCTAGAATTACAATTGCATGTAGAATAAATTAAGAAAGATCTAATTTGTTCTAGGACACATTCACACACACTTAATCGTTCGCTAAGAGATTAGTAGCGATTAAGGGGCCGTAAGCTCGCTCGTCTTGGCAATAATTTAGGATCCTGTCGCATGAGAGATCAGCCTGGTCCCCTAAATTATTGTACTCTACGCCGCGAGAGCGGTAAGAACTTAGTAATGATTAGCTAGGCTCAATTAAATTAAATTCATGTAATTAGGCCTGATCTGCCAGAAATCTGGTTACCCCGGAATCAATCCCTGTTCCCTTCGTCATTAATTGAGAAGAAACCACTTTTATTTTAATCGTTCATTCGCATTAGTTTAATTTTTATTCAACCAACCAATCTTGCACGACGCATTTTTATTTATTTATTTTTAATCGCTGAATTTAGTTAATTCTTAATTCCCTTTTGTCCGTCCCTGTGGAGACGATACTCGTACTTACACCACTATTCTACAATCTTTTCAAGTGCGAGAAAACTCACATCAGCTCTCCAGAGAGGTCACTAACTGGGTGTAAATGAAGCCCAACAGCAAAGCTCTTCTAGACTTGGAGAGGAATGCCTCATCTTTGGAGTCGAAACTTGTTTTTCGCAATGGATATGAAAACTTCAAGTCCCAAAGAGCCAAAATCAGCCCCTCTGAGAAGACATCCCCAATCCCCCCTATTCATCAAAGCCAATTTCTAGGTAAAGTAAAAGATTTCTTGGGGGTAATATCGGAAGCAAACAAAAAGCTGGAGGTTGATGCAAAAAACAACCCAGAGAACTATGATATAGAAGCTCTAACTGGGGAAGAATCTCAGTTTATTGAGATGGATTTGATGCTTGGTGTGGCAGAGTTACAGAGTAAGGAAGCCATAGCTGCTGCTGAGTCTGCCATAGCCGGTAATCAACCTGTGATGATTCCTCATGAATCCACTAGTAGTGATGATGATGATGATGATTCAAGTGATGATGATTTGGAATGTGAAAGTGAAGAACATTTTCCAGATAACGGGAGAACTGGAAAGCCTACTGAGGAATATTCTGCAAGTAAACCTTCAAGAAATGAGAAGCATTCAAGAAAGAGATCGAAAATTGTTGAGCTTTCTTGAGACCTAGACTGTTTGAGGCTTTGAAATACAAGATAATGATGGAGATTGTATTCCTCTTTTGGGGCAATGCATCTATTCTGATGTCAATCCAAAATCTTCCAAAATCTGATCTATTATGCATATATTCTGATGTCAATCAAAGTTATCTCTAAGAATCGCATAGTCTAATACGAAGTAATTAAGATGCAACATTTTTGTTTTGTTTTTAGATTTGTATTACCAAGATGTCATTAGATGTGCTCTTTTGTTCTATTTTGATGGAAAAGCTATCAGGCACAAGTCTGTATTGTTCAAAAAGTTTGTAAAAATTTCTAGTTTAATGTTTGACATGACAATTTTTAAGAGCTTTTCAAAAATTAAAAGATCTTTTTTGAAATGCTACAGGGAGTAGCATCTGAGAAAAGCTCGTGACTTTTAGTACCAATTAATTCTAACAGCTTGAATACCAAATCGAACTAAATCAAACAATCAGCTTTTTTAAAACAAACAATTACCACCTTTTTTTAAAGATCTTTTCAGTCAGTAAAAGCTAACATTTATCAAAAAGCTCACAAAAGTATCTTTCCAGCTAGTTGTGCCAAACATACCCTAAATTTGGCTAAAGTGATTGGAGTTTATTTTGTCGAAACTGTACCCTGCCCCTTTTAGTTACAATACCCTGCCCCTTTTAGTTACAATAATGCTTGTTGTACACAAGCAGGGGTTAACCCGGTCCCGATTCTGGTCATAGTTCCTCATTTTTAAGTCCGGAACCGACCCAGACTAGTACGGTTCCGGTTCCGGTCCGCCAGTCCGGTTTCTGGCTGGTTCAGGTCTGTTTTTTTTTAAACTGCAATTTACACATTAAAAAAGAAATGTATGTTTATTTGAAACACGACATATTTATAAAGTACAGTTGGGAATAGTTTAAATTTTAAAATTTAAAATATGTGAATTAGGCATGGACCGGTTCCGAGCCGGGCTCCGGGCCGATCCAAACCGGGCTTTTATTTTTTGGGGGTGGGCCCGGAACCAGCCCGGTTTGCAACCAGGCCCGGGCCGGCTCATTTTTTTTTTGCTATTCTAATTAACCCCCGACCCCCCCCTTATCCCCCCCAAACACCCCCCCCCAACCCCCCCCCCCCCCCCAAAAAAAAAAACACCTAGCCCAACCCGGGAAAAACAAAAAAAAATTGAAAAAACAAAAGAAAAAAATTAAATAGGCCCGAACCAAGCCGGGCCCGCCCCGGCCGGTTCCAAAGGAAGGGTAGGCCCGAAACCGGACCGCTCTAACACACCGGGCTGGTCCTAGGCCCGGTTCTCAGGCCGGTTCACCGGGCTGGTCCGGTTCTAAACAGTACCGGGCAGGGTCGGGGCCCGGGTCGGGGCCCCGGTTTCAGTCCATGGCTAATATGAATTAATCGCCAGAGCCGCTTTCGACGTTGGTCTTCGTATCCTCCATGGAAGTGTATAAGTAGGAGTGTATGATTAGGGATTATAAATAATTATATAGTATAATAAGTATATTATAATTATAGTATGAGTATATTACATATGAAAGTGTAAATGTGAATAATGTAGGATTAGAGTTCGAGAATTTGAGAGTAGAGAGAATGGGTAGAAGTAGAATTGTAGGAAAAAATGAATAAAATGGTTAGGTATTTATAGAAGTTTTTTAGGCACCCCTACCCCATCCCAATCCCCCAAACGGCTATTTAGCCGTTACCAGCTGTTCCAAACGGCTAGTTGCCCCTCAAACCCAACCCCAACCCCACCTTATAATAATAATAAAAAGCGGGCCTTAACCGAGACCGGAACCGCCCCATACCCAGTCGGGACTGGGTACCCGGTCCAATATCGGGACCGAAAACTCGATCGGTCTGGTCCCTTACAATAGCGGGCCCAGTTCCAGTCTGGTCCGGGACCGTTGACCAGGCCTGGTTCACCCGTATACACAAGGAGTTATACATTGTGTACACATTTATCAGTCACAACCAATTGATGAAGTGATGTATGGATCTGCCTATGGATACAGACAAGTGTTGTCTGTGTACATAACTACAATACTACATATAACTCTTCCCTGTGCTCACAGACATTATTTTTCGTGCAAAAGTACACTGCCACTCACGTGACAGGGCACAAGGCAATGTTGATGTGCAAACCATTCTCTGTTTGTGTAGTTCCTCTGTGCATGAATAATAATTGTCTGCACACATAAAATACTTTTATGTGATCCATTCTAGATTATTGGAGAGATTTTACCACATAAGGAATAATTGTGATGCTCATAGATAATTGTCAATGTGATCATGCATTTTTAGCTGTTTGTGTTCACATATATTTTAACACGCAAGCAATAGTTATTTGTGTTTCTCACAGACAATAGTTATTAGTGATCTATTTTAGTTGTATGTGCACTCAATTTTAATTGCCTGGATAAACAAAATATGTAATTGTCTATATACTCCAACATTAATAATGTAGTTGTATGTGTGACCAATTTAAATGTAATTTGAAAAAAAATGGAAATATAATAAAAATAGATGGAGCGAGGGAAATATGTCAATTTTATGAAAGTAATAATGAAAACAATTGGATATAAAAAAGTAGAGAAAAAGAGGATGGAGAAGAGAGGAGAAGAAGATCCAGTCTTTGACTGAATATACGAATGAGGATGGAGAGAGAGAGAGAGAGAGAGAGAGAGAGAGAGAGAGAGAGAGAGAGAGAGAGAGAGAGAGAGAGAGAGAGAGAGAGAGAGAGAGAGAGAGAGAGAGAGAGAGAGAGAGGAATGGGATCATAGAAAGATATTTATAGTGTGTATAAAGAGTGTAACTAGACAAGAAATCAAGAATTGTTAAGTATATGCACATGTATAGTTATAGACTTATAGTGAGATAAGTGATTAACTTGTGAATTGACAAGACCTCTCACACACACACATAAGATAGAGAAATAATGCAGAATGTAACACAAGTAATTTTAAGAGTTGTATATGTTTTTGAGTAATTTATGTATGTGCCATCATTAGTTCTCAAGGCTTACTCACATGCAAATCAGGTCCTCTACAAAAAAGTGTAATTTGAGTTTGCACCCCATTTTATGGTTCAAATTACACTTTGCATCCCGTTTTAAAAAAACTTTGTATTTGCACCTCAACCCCATATGAAAAGACAAAAATGCCCCTCCATTAAGATTGGAATGTCCTTCCCCTTTTCTTCCTTGGTCGGGGGGCTTGCTTTCGTAGAGATGCTCCCAGCGCAACTTAATGCCCCAGATATGGAGAATACTCCGAGCATTGGAGGTTTTAAGTGAGAAATTTAAATCCACCTTTAAATCTTCTTATGTATGGTTCACCTACGAGCTCCGCTCTTCAGGCTCTGGACGGTATACCCTTGTGTTATAGACTGAAGAGAAGTGATTGTGATTGGTGTGGATAAAGCAAACGATCGCGGATGGATGGTCAAGTTCTTCTATGTTTATAAGTCTTTCCTTAGGTCAAGGCATCGTATTTCTTGAAGAAAACTAGAGGATTGGTTAGATATATGTATTCACGATGTATTCGTATCTGTATTGATTTCATATTATGTGTGCGATTGCTGCATTTTTTTTTAAATTATGTATTGGTACATCTAGGTGATAAGGATTCGATTCGCTACGTCAAGGACCGGATTCTAAAGAGAAAAGCAGAGTACTGCAAGGTTGTTAATGTTGCGATTTGAATCGTAAAATCGTAGTATTTTACAATTCAAAACACCTAAAGGATTTAACTCGCATCCAAAATCGTTTTTCAACAAATTTCGAAAAAAACGTAATTAAATCGTTTAAAATCGATTGGAATCACAATTTTAAGCAAGTTTAAGCAAGTTTACGATTTTAATTTCACGCTCAGTCCGACTAAATCAGGCCTAGGCTACGACCCAATTCACATCTATCGGCCCGACAACAAACTTCAGACTTTGAGCCTTTGAGACTGCTACTATGCGAGTAGAAGATCAACATTTATAAGATTATTGGGGGAGAGAAATCTTTGTTGTTCCAGTGTGGGACGCCAAACAATTGAGAAGAAGAACAAAATCGAGTAAAATTTAAGCCATAATTGTTCCAGGGAATCCAACTGTAAGGAATAAATGCATTTAGATTTTGATGATGCTAGGTTATTTAGAATATTAGAATATCCCTTTTAGAAATCTTGTATTAGAATTTTTCTTTGTAAGTATTAGTGATAACCGCTTTCGCGGCGTTGTAGTAAAACGGAGTCTAACCTTTCGGTTTTTCCCCGAGTGTCGTGTCTCTTGAGGAATGGCGGAGAAGTTTCTTAATTTAATTTTAGTCACGGGCTATCGCTAATCGTTGGAAGCCTTTTCAATATAGGAAAGTGATTTTGTTCTATATTATGCTAAATTATAACTAGGAGCAAGGTGCAATTTAAAGATTAATGTATAAAGACTGATTATTCAAGGATGCAAATAAGGGCAATGAATTGAGTAATTAGAAATGGATATGTTCTTGGACCTCTTAATTAGGGAAATTAAGACTAAAGTTGGACTAATAATTTCTTTCCTCATAGACAAGAATAGAAACTATCTTCATTAATTTATCCTATTTCTAGGTATCATTAATGTGTTTAAAATGGTTGGCTTAAATTATATCCTAAACCCATAGACAAGGTAGAAATAATTTTCCAATATTTTAATTAATAAAAATAGCCAAATTCATTAACTAGTTAAACTCTTTATTTTAGCAATTGAATTTATTTCTCATAGACAAGATGTAAATCCTTTTCATTAAATTATCCTATTTCTAGGCCTTATTAATGTGCTCAAATATGGTTGGCTTAAATTAATTTCTAATCTCATAGACAAGTTAGAATTAATTTTCCAAGAATTTAATTAATGAAAATGGCTAACTATTATTAATTACTATTTCATCATTTTAAACAACTAGTCCAATTTATTAATTTTAACCCCTAATTTGGTCAACAAGTCAATCCATATTCCTTTACTCAATTCATGCCCTAACAAATTTAGCTACTCATCATCATTTTTGCAATTAACAACATAATGATTAAATTCAACATTAACAAGGAATTAAACATGTATGATAGCAAACATTAAAAACAAATTATATTATTGCACAATAAACTTGTAGGAACTAAAATATAACTTTCTGGAATTTTTCACCAATTTTTGAACCTAAAATCCAATTTTAACAACTAATTGATAATTTTCCCAACTTTAACTAGAAAA